AGGGAAGGTCGAGAGGCGACCTTGTGGCTGCCTATAAGTTCATCATGGGGGCACAGAAGGGAATTGGTGAGGCTTTACTCACCAAGGCACCCCTGGGGGTTACAAGAAATAATCGCCATTAGCTAGCAGAGAGCAGATTTAGATTGGACATTAGGAAGAACTTCCTCACAATTAGAGTGGCCAAGGTCTGGAATGGGCTCCCAAGGGAGGTGGTGCTCTCCCCTACCCTGGGGGTCTTCAAGAGGAGGTTAGATAAGCATCTAGATGGGGTCATCTAGACCCAGCCCTCTTTCCTGCCTATCCAGGGGGTCGGACTCGATGATCTATTGAGGTCCCTTCCGACCCTAACATCTATGAATCTATAGTAATGCATACCATTTTAGACTGCTAAAACTCCATTGACTAAACTGGCTTCACTGGTTTTCAAACCAGTTTTGCAATTAGGCAGACCCAGCCTTTATTTTGGTCAGTGCTAAAGTTCTGTTTAACTGAGCAGGTTGAAAAATGGTTACAAAATATCACCAGTGTCAAAGCCCCAAGGATGTCTATGACTCAATCAAGAAAAGAAATGATATCTCTATTACCCTCCCACTCCATAACCACAAACCTATTCCGTACTCTCAGAAGTACATTGCATGTCACAGGAGCAATATTTGATCGGCAGCCAACAGACCTTTTCTCTGGGGAATAACATTTCATTTACTAAATTCTACTTTATTCGATCTGCTTTATCTATGTATATATCTCAAACACTATAAAATAATAGCCTGATTTTCAGTTGCCCTCCATTTTCTGAGACAGCTGTGTCTTCACAAATCACATTTTGCAATGTCCACCTGGAATTTTTATGACCAATTGATTGTGGCACATTTTTCCCCACAAAATCAAAAGTCAAGTTATAAACTGGCTGAAAACAAAGCCTGGTAGGCTAATTTGTTTAAGAAAACCAACACTCGAAAACACTGAACATATACCTCTAGAGTTAGCTAATGTGAAAGCTTCTCAAAGAGACACAGAGCTACTCTACATTAGAAACGTCCCCCCCCCCCACCGCCCCTGCGCCCCCTGGCTCCAATGGTTAGAAATTTTGGTATTGACTCGTGGGAGGTGCGACAGGGGACATATGTGGGGACAGAGGGCAAAATTACCTGGAGGTAATATTGTATAGGCAGTGAGCAATAATTACTTGTAAGCAAGGTATTTTCTGAGGACTAATGATTGCCAGGGGTCAATACTGTCATGGACCATCAGCTCCTCCCAGCTGGTCACCATAATTATGATCCATCCCCAGTGAAGTTAGTGTAAATTTTTCCACTATCTTTAATGGGAGATGGATCAGGCCAAAAATAATTTCAGAAACATTGTTTACTGCCTTATGGATTCATCTAACTGATCTGCCTAATGCTCCACTTGGATTTGTTGATTAGAAGCAGACCAGTCATTTTACACAGTAAATGCCTAACCTTAAGGACTTACCTTTGTCTTTTAATAATTTTACACAAAAACTTAACATTCATTCATTTGCACATAAACCCATAGGTATTTGTTACATCTGATAAAAAAACAAACACACAGTGACATTTAAACCCAACAATTTTTTAAAGTTTAATATAGCTTTAGATAAAACTGAGCTTGCAGTATTAATGAATACAAGAGTTTGTAGTTTTGTATAATCGAAATAAACTTATACATTTATACAATTATAGATCGCATGCCAGAAAATGCATTTAGTTGATTCTAATCTGAATATATACAATTTACAATATAATTCAAGCATAAATTCAGCAGTAGAGAACACAGACCTGCTGTGCAGTCAAACAGAAGTACTTTTTTAGCATAAGCAATAGGGCTGGGCTAAAATGTAAATTATGAAATGACAGTGGTTTTACTGGAAGAAATGAAATATTAACTCAAAAAACAGTAGTTTCTAAAAAACTTTCAAAAGTAATTTATCATCCATGTTTGTGATTTCAGTGTATTATCAATGAAAAACATATATATTTTAATATTAGCATACATCATACTGTACTACATGCCACAGGGCTCAGCAGCCTCATTCCCAGCAGGGAAAGATAAATGATTTACTTAAATTCAGTTCTTATGAATGAATCATAACTGAACATTTTCAATTGCAATGTATGCTGCAGCATCAAAAATAAAATCGGATAAAAAACAGAATACCTTTCCATTTCTGAGCAAAGCTATTTCGTCTATTAAATAACTTGTTGTTCACCAACCATTGCCTTGTATTTTCTAGGGACAATGCAAATTCTCATTGTATTTCAATGTTCAATTAATATTTTTCCCTCTATACTCATTTCTTATACACAAATTCACTCCAAAATTTCTCAAGTGGAAATGCTACTGATGTCACTATCTTTAGAGTAAGATCCAATATTAAAATGACTGCCTAGCTTCCATGCTGCAGAAACTTAAACAAAGGAAATGGAAGTTCCAGACATGGTTTTTGATAGGGCCTTCAGCTTTGCCTAGTGCAGAAGCTAAATGTATTTTTCAAGAAACTCTCTCTTGCAGAGTTCCAACAAAAGGGGGGAAAGTAGTTTACAATTTTTCAGAATTTGTTTTGTAACGCTAGAAATTTGCTCACTAGGCATTAGAGCATGGTACTAGCACGCAGGGAATTACACGCACAACTCCCATTAACAATAACGTGCACAGAGCTGACAATTTAGCTGAAGGTGTAGAAGCATGCAATGCAGGTCACAAATCATTATAAACTCTGAAAAACTTTGGAAGTATCCATGAAATCCAAAAGTACACAGATGACAGATCATGTACTGCAACTCCCAGGAAAAGTGCTGAGCTCCAGTTGTTGTATTACTCACTTAGCAACATAGAACACTTTGCTTTACATTCCTTGCAACCAGTTACAAAAAATGAACATATACAGATATTGGTAGATCTGTTATTATTATTACTGTTGTTATTATTTATACAGTGCTAAAATATGCACCCATTTAAATCTCATTTACATAGTCCAAAGCCCTTTGAATCAGAACTGCCAATATATTACAGAAATCAGTTCTAGTTATACATGCTGATTAGAGTAAAATATTCTATTCACTGTGGTCCCAAAATGCATCTTGTTAATAAAATACAAATTACTTCAAACAATTTGAGACCAGGATTATTATTATTATTTATTTTTTTATTTTTTGCTGTTATTGATGGCCAATATGGAAACCCTCAAGAGCCAGACCTATCTTAATGACCACATGACTTCTGGATGGTTGCACTACTGGTAATGTCATTTTGTCATCGATTACTGGGTTTTATCAGATGCTGTGATGTATGCTGTATAGATGTTTAATTTTTGGAAAGTGTATTAAGATAGCTACCCTCCTTGGAGCAGAATATGGCTAACCAAATGCTGCTTACCCACAGCTGACTACAGGTACATATACTATGCCAAACATCATAACAAACAAAAATGAAAACAAACAAATAAAAAAGTAAGATTAGAAACTCACACATTCATGAAAAGTTGGCATTTTTTATTTTAATACTCTTTGGGGCAACTTCATCTGAGAATATTTTTTAAATTTAAAAACCTTTTCATCACTTAGAAAGTAGTATGGGAAAATACTCCCAAACAGTAGAAGAAGTTGCTTAGGAAAGCTTTGTGTAAAACATTAACATATTGACATATTTTGGATGTGCAATAGAAGTTTGACAACTTAGAAAAAGTCAGTTCAGTTTATAAGATCCCTAATCATTAAAGGAGGCCTACTTACATTAAAGGAGGTCAAGTAAGAGTCAGTTTTAATTCAGTTTATTGCCTAAAATGGAGGCTGAAGCCCTAGTGCCACTGAAATTAAGGGGAATTTTACTGGACTTTACTAAGGACAAAATATCACCCACGAAATGTATGTACTTGTTTTTAAGAAATAATTTATATCATTTCCATATTGGGCCAATAGTATTGGCACCAGAAATCAAGCAAAATAATTCTTTTGAAGTGTTTTGTTATATTTATACTAATAACCATGAAACAAAATTATTTCACGATTTTCTTTGTACTTTGCTCCATCTAGCTAAAATCTATTTGGGGATTATTTGGCCCAGCCCTAAATAGTACATTTTCTTTTGGGTTTTTTTTTTATCAATACCTCAAATGAAATATATTTTAATTTCTCCCTATGTCCTAATGGCAGGGGAAAAAAAGATATTAAAGCAAATTATAAAATGGCAAGTGACTTAAGGCTAAGAGATTTGGTGTTTAGAATTGGCTAATGCCTATAACCTTGGCTTAGGAAAGAAAACATGCACCATAACTACTCTGTTTGAACAAAACAGCACACACTACACATCAGGAAAAGAAAAATGAAATTAAATTATAACTTGCCCTGAAAGTTACCCACTCATGTTTTACCTACTACTTATCCTTAAGAAATATCGGGGAGAGGAACACCCCCTTTACATATTTTTCAGAATATACAATATAAATAAAGTAAGAATCATGCCATAAAACTATATGCAAAAATTGCACACTATTATTGCATGCTTGGTGTGATACTACATGCCAATTAATATTAGCTCTCTATAACCCCAAGAAGGATTTCAGATCTTTTATTTTTGAAGTTTACTTACAGTACAGTCACCATTATCTGGGAGGAATATGGATGTTGCAAGTTGCATGTAGTTTGAAGGAAACTTTCACCTATTAGTTATCACACTCTTCAGGGGGGTTATTTTTCTGCCCAAATTTGATTTTCTAGGAATTCAATCTTTAAATAATACCTAAAAGTCTACTCATGTTATGTAAATCGATCAGAATTCATTTTCCTCAGTTTTGCTGGAAGATTCCCCTCCATTCTGCCTCCTCCTCCTCCTGATAATTTTTGAAGTTTTGGTGGCAAATCAGCCATAGATTGACTCATAGGATCTGACATCATCTTTGTAGTTTTAGATACCAGTTTCTCTTCTGAGTTACCAGGAACTGAGCTTATTCGCTGAAGTTTCATAGGCAAGTCCCCCATGCTGTAAGCCTTTTCTGAAGTTGTAGAACTCATCCTTAGTAGTTTTTTGGGGAAGTCTTCCCTTCCAGTCATTTTCTGCAGTTTTGAAGGTAACTTTGTACTAATGTCATCTAGACCATCTAGACATTCTGTAGAATTATTCCTTTCTTTACTGTTACTTACAGCAGGTGCTATTAAAGGGGAGGACATAAGAAGCATTTCTTCCTGTTCCTTCACACTGTAGGGTGGGGTAGGTACTTCAAATGTTGCATGAAACTGGGAGTAGTCTACTTTAAAGAATCCTTCCTCTAAGGAAATAACAGGAAAAAACCGGTGACCCCAAAGAACCTCATCTTCGGTATATGATGTTCGGGCTTGACATGTCATCCCTGCAACCAAAAAAGAGAATAAACGTCTTGATAAATTACTAAGAAATAAAAGGGTTCAAATGTTGTTGTAACCATAATGGTCTAGGAAATATGCAAGAAGCAAAGTTTTATTTTTGTTGGTATCTTTTATTGGATCAGTTTATAGACAAACTTTCAGGTGCCCTACCTCTAGTCATTGCTTCTCAGTGTTTGTGCCCAAAAACGTGTCTAGAAATAATAAAGTGGGTCCAATAAAGGATATCACCAAAAACCTCCTGCTTCTAAGGGTATAAAACAGATGTCATATTTGAAGCAGGATCAGCTGTGTCAGAATATGTGCTGGCACACCTGATCTACTTCATTGGCGTTTACATATGTCACCCAAGGCTATTGTCCTCCACTTCCAGATGCATATCCTGAATTAGGGTATGACAACCTGATATATAAACTGCGGGAATCCCCCTGCCAGGGAAATCCTAGGATATATAATAAATGAACAGATGCCCTAACCTATAAAGCATCCCCAACTGTGACTACATTTGGTCACAGCAACATTTTTGGGCACTTGGACTGTGACAAGGGGCTAGGACATCTGTTTGTTCACAATTTGTTCTGACATAAAACTTTAAATTTTAATGTGTTAGTTGATAGATAACAAAATTGCTCCCTCCCTCCCACCAAACCATAACTATTGACGAGTACTCTGTTTGCACCTGAAGGAATAAAAGTTGACTCAAAAGAAAATTGATTTAAGCATATCAAAACTTGATTTTTAACATTTCACAGAGATACAGTTAGGGGTTATTTTGATGCATTTAAGATAGCACTGACCATTAAAGTCTGAAATCGTGCACTTTGCTATTTAATGATCCATCTTATTAGCAAGAAGAAAGATTTTAATCCAGACTAGCTGTTAACACTAAGATACAAGGTGATGTCATACCTTTTAATATTTTCCTGAATCTAATAGCCTTTCTGAAACAAAAATTCTACTCTAGCACCAATGTGAATGAGTTAGAAAACAGAAAAGAGAAATCATAAAATTATTTGAATAATTTCATTTCTATTTTTATTGAATTTCATTTTTGCCATATTTTTAATATGTTGAAATGTAATATTTTTAAGCACATGGTCCTCAAATATATAAGTGCAATGCATTACTTCTATATGCATCACACCATACCAAGATATGTACATCCATCCTAATATTGCAATATACATACAGGGCAGAAATCTATTTCTCTGCTAAGACACACAAATGACACATTTTAGGTATTTAAATTACAGAAAAACATTCTACATCACCTCACATAACAGCTTGTTTTGCATTTACATGCCTACATTCCTTACATGGCTACATTTTCATCCTATGCGACTGTTTGCCCCTACTGACAATGCTCAGAAGCAATTTGGTTCTGCCCCAGATGCTCTGTGGTGATTCAGCTTCACTGTGGATGTACAGAAAAGATGCACACACCCCTCCAATTGTAGGAAACCAAAAAACAAAAGTAGTTACTGTTTGATACTAGCCCAGCCCACCTTATAGGGCACTGGCTGACTTTCTCCTCTCTTATATTTCTTTTGAAATCAAGTATTGCCTGTGACACCCTCTCATCCAGCCTGTACGGAAGGAAACAGTGCACATAATAAAGATTAGTGATTAATGTTTTCAGAAGAAGTGAAATTGGGCAACTCCAAACCCAGGGAGGCTACATGACACCTGAGGAAGGGCTGGGTGCCAGAATGCTGATCACGTATGGTCTCCCATATCCTGGGTAAGTGCATCTTTTCTCCCAATATTTGCTCTCAAAATTCAAGAATTCCACTTCAAATTATATGATATAGGATGTATAATACTCAGTTTTCCATTACTGACAGCTTTATGAATCAGTATTTCATGAGTTATCAGAACCTATAAGCCTCTCAGTTCTCCATTCCCAGTGGCATAAAATATTTCTTTCAAGTCACACACGTAAACAATGAGATAGCTGACCTTAAAGTCAAAATTTTATGATGTATAGAAAAGTTATTTCAGATGATTTCTGAAATGAGATTAGCTCATTTTATCTCCACTGTTATATCTTAGCTATAATGCATCTCCTTCTCCAAAATCACTGCAGTTGGACTTAAGGGACAATCCTGAGGTGTTGCTCTTGGAATTGGTTCTCCTGTATCTTTTCTAGCTCATCTTTCCATTCCATTTCTCTATCAGTACCTTGATACTAGAAGCTAGGAATGATCAAAGCCCCAGTATTTTATGAGAAGTTTGGGGGAGACAAGAGTGCAATTTTTATTCCAAATACTTTCACAGGGGAACAGAGAATGTGGGCATTACTTATGAGAAGCTGCATGTTTTGCAACATACAAGTATAAGTCAAGAGAGATCAAAAGTCTAGAAAAATAGTTACAACCAATCAAAGAAAAGATCACAAGTTGTGGCAAAAACAAAAAGCAAAAACAAGCTCTTAAGACTGAGAGAGAGTGCGGTTACTCTTTCATATGCAGCCCTAAGTCAGTCAGATCATATCAAGCATTAACTTATGAAGTTAAGCAGAAACATATCCCAGGCTCTAAAATCTGAACAAACCAATTATGGTTCACTCACAAGTAGCTAACTTTTACTTCTTAATATTGCCTTACAATAATGCATGTTTATGCATCAAGTCCTTGCTAGTCTTGACTCCTATTATGAATTTTAAACATTTTAGTAAAAAAGGTTTTGTCTCTCTTTACCCATTTGTTTTTGCCAGTGTCAACTCAACCCCTAACCTCAACCCTATTCAGATATTTGGTATTTTGAAACAACTATATTGCTTGATGTGTATCTGACACAAACTTACCAGTTTTGCATGAGAATACACCTTGTAATCAAAAGACTTAGGAAAATTGTTAAGAAATAAGATATATTCAGCAGCTATATTTTCATGTCAGTCATTGTAATTTCTCCCATGGTGGTTTGATTCGATTTCTTTATTTGTAGCAATCTGTAAACATAATTACATTCTAATTCCACCAACAGATTTTGTAACTCTGTTAATTGCACGTTTACACCATTCACTATAGCAGTCAGTAAAAATAGCTGTTTTGTTTCACATGAAGAATACCTCCCTGCTTTAGACAACAACAGGGGAAAATATACAAACTCCAGGAAGGGTGATTAATGAAGCTTTTGAAAGCTCCAGAAAAAGTTTATTTAAAGTAAAGTTGTGATGTCTTTCTTGGAAACATACTTCCACAGTTTTAAAACCACTATATCACTAAAAGCAAATATACATGCAATGTGGGGGTGAAGCAGCCTGACCTCTGTCCCTTGCCCCCCCCACACCCTGCCCCCTCCCACCTGTCCCCCTAACATTTGACTGCTCCCCTGTCACTTGCCCTCTCCCACTTCCCTTCCCGCTCTCACATCTGCCTCCCCTGCCTGCGCCCCCACTTGTGGCTCCCCCTCACTCCCTTGCTGCTGGCACTTACCATCCAGCTCTGGCTCTAGATCTGGGAAGGCAAAGGTGGTGGTGGTGGTGGGAAAGAAGCAGCAGGGAGGTGGGCAGCGGCTTTGGCTCTGATCCTAACCCCAATTCTAGGTCAAGGCCATAACATTTAAAGGTTCTGCTCAAAAACTAAGCTCAAAACTCTTCCACTGAGGTAGGAGGCTATGTGTACATTTCAGAGAATTCCTAAATATTTCTTTCATGTATAGATATCGTGTATTGTATTTTCAACTTTGTTTATGCAACTATAGTGAGAGAAAAAAATCACATTCCACAAGAAGTCCTGGTGAAATACATTTTAGAACAGTCTAATTTTGTTGAGTACTTGTCCCACTTGTGTTTATTATCTCTAGTAATTTACTACCTACAGATTTATGAACAAAGAGCCTCTTTCATCTGGTCTCAGCTAGGAAATGTATTAGAAGATAAGTATTTACGTTAATATATGTAAAAAATAATTACAGAGGCATCTGAAATTAAATTCACGATTACTGTAAAACAGACAGTTAACTAAACTATGGGGCGATAGAGTTAATTGAAATGCTAAACTTTTTGATATAGAAGTTGATGATTGACAACATGGCTAAACTGTGAGCTGTCCTAATTCATTTAAAATTGTACCTAGTTCACTATCAAAGAGCTACATTAGTAATACTCAAAATTTGAGCTTAAGGATGATAACTAAGTATACAGTGGGGGACAAACCTCCCTCCCCATGATTTCCAAACAGTACCTTCCATAGCATTTAATTGTTCAATGTCTTGCATAGAGCTTTTTGTATTGTAGTATCTAAAATAACAAAACATATATATGTTTTTAAGAAGCTGCATGAAAAAAAAACCCTGTGTATCTAATGAAATGACAACACAAGACAAAATGGAGCGAGTGCAAACTCAGTAACGTATCCCTTTCTGGAGATTAATTGTCTGATATTACCACCAAGAATAGTTGGGCCTCTGTGATGCATGCTTACTTGAAGGGAAAATGGGAAAGTGTATATGAAGAGATAAGGAAGGAGATTTAATTGGTTAGATATAGTATTCACTGCAGTCTTCACTACAGAAGCTGATGATTTGGAATGGGGTATGAGAGGGCTAATTGCTGTGTTATTACCAACTGCTTCTTGGTAGATAAGAGGTCAGGTGGGAAAACATGTATCATTCAGTTCTATCCAAAAGGGAGGACACAAGAGGAGATTGCATAGTGATTTCTCAGCAAGATACACAATTTGCCTCAAGCAAATTATATCAACAGGAACCCCAGGAAAGTTATGAGCAAGTTAAAACAAAGGCTTTTAATTGGAATGGTATTTCAAATACAGTCTCAGTCCCACCCTCTATGAGGTGAAGCCAGACCAAGTTCCCCTGTGCCTCACCTGCATGTAAGTTTTTGGAGTATCCCAGGACTTGTGACAAGAACACCCAATTCTAGTCACTGAGTGGGGGCTAACTAACACCTTGATCCTTTGTGGGGGTATCTGGAGTAAACACATATACTGAGCAGTGCTTAGCTGTAGTCACTGTGACTTGAAAT